AAATATACTTATATTTTCAATTGATTAATAAACTATAATTTGACTTAACTGCAGGTATTCAAAAAAAAAATTAAATAAAATTTCAAATTTTGAATATAATACTTTTTTGAACTAATATATCTAAATTTATTATTTTTTTATTTTTATAACTAGTAAATTTTTATCCTATAGTAATAAACTATAAACTATGAAGTTACAATTGAAAGAGGTTTTACTTAAACTATTAATAAAGCAATAAATCACTTTCAAAGTTATACTTAGAGTTTTAAGAAATTTATAAAATAGAGATGAGTAAGTTAAGTAGAGATTTGGCTTTAGCAAATATTTCAAATGTAAAGCATACAAACATTTAATAAAGCACTTATACCTAGCCTGACTAAGGGTATAAAAAAAAACTAGTAAATCTTTATCTATTTATTAAAATTCTAAAATTTCAGGAAATAATATAATAATTTGAATACTAAAATTGATTAAAGCAAATATCATATAATTTTTTTATTCTCCTTGATTGGATAAAGTCTTAATAAATTATAGTAAAATCCATATTATGAAATAAATGAAATTTTTTATATCACTTTTGATAAGTAACGCTGCTACTTTAATAGTCTATATAGTTTTTCTTTATCATAATAAAATATCTATTGTATTTTTGTTAAAATCTTGTAATAATTAATTCAAAAATATAAACAAAATAATCAAAGAATCTTTTCCCATATATTATATTATTAATTCATAATAGATTAGAGATACAGTATACTTCTAATCTTTATATACAGTATATACAAATACAATATTAGGTTAAGTTTTTAAACTCAAACATTGGATTCGAAGATTGATCTAGCACAAAAATTTCTGACGAAAAAAAAAACGCATAGCAAGACACCATTATCTCCATAATCTAGTCGTTTGGAATTATATTCTTGAGCGGTTGAGGAAAAAAAAATAATTTATTTTACATATATTGATAAATAGGTAAGTTTTTTTTTTTATTCATAAAAAAAAAAAAATAAGTTTCCGAGGTATAACCAATAGAATTTAACCAATACGATGATGACGTGCCACAAAGAATGCGACGAATAAGTATAGCAATAACCACCATCTGTACAGCATACGATTCGGATCCAATATGAATAGAGGTCACCTATAATCTATGCATGCCGAGAAACCGAAATTTTATTGGTTCAACCTTCTTGACCAAATTCCTTTGTAAAGTCTATATGTGCTTTGATATCAACAGCGTTTACCGTGCGATTAGTTGAAATCATTGACTTTTTGAAATCATCTAAAGTTAATTCCGGTTCAAGTAAATCTTCTGACTTGACATCAATCCACGTCATTTCCTGTGCACCCTCATCGCCAGGTGAACACGGAGTGAGGTAGTTTTTGTCGGGCCTTTTAACCTTATTAAAATAACTCAGATTCATTATTAATTGATGCTATAAATAGTAATTTAAAGAAATTGTTGACTTACCCATTTGAAGTGTGTTGCGGATTGAACTCTACGAACAGGTTGCATTAAAGCATCTCGAACCAACACTGAAATATCAGAGCCAGAATATCTGAAGAAAGAAGCAATATAAGATTTAAAGAATCCCTGAAGAATTTTGATTTATAAAGATAACTCACCCGTCCGTCATGTCTCCCAATAGTTTGTAATCTTCTCGGGTCAATTCACAAGGTGTAGACCCCACATTAAGTTCAAATATCCTAGCCCTTGCAGCAGGATCCGGCAGAGGTATGTATATTCTCTTCTCAAATCGTCGTCTAATGGCGCTATCTAATTGCCATGGAATGTTTGTAGCTCCAAGTACCAAAACTCCGCTGGAATCATTGCCTACACCGTTCATCTGGACCAGAAACTCAGTTTTTATCCTCCGACTTGCCTCACTCTCACCTTCTCCGCGCTGACCACAGAGAGAATCAACTTCGTCAATAAAAATGATCGCAGGTTTGTTTTCTCGAGCCATTGTAAAAAGGTTTTTGACAAGACTGAAAGTAAGAATTTTAAGTGTTAGAAAAACAATAGTCATTATGTACTCAGTTTTATGAAAGGTGATTTACCGTTCACTTTCACCCATCCATTTGCTCACCAAGTCGGAGGATGAAACGGAGAAAAATGTAGAATTCGCTTCAGTCGCAACTGCTTTAGCTAGATAAGATTTTCCCGTCCCCGGAGGTCCGTATAACAATATACCTGACCATGGTTTTCTATTTCCTACAAAGAAAAAAACGATAACAAAGTTTTTAACCAAACTAACATTTCTTAAAAATTAAGCACAATATATCTACCAGTAAATAACTGTGGAAACTTGATAGGTAAAATTACTGCTTCTTTCAGCGCTTCTTTCGCAGACTCCAAACCGGCAACGTCGTCCCAATGCACATTGGGTTTTTCGCTAAGAATTGCGCCTGGAAGTTTCCGGATTGCATTATAGGAAATGTTTATCTCAATTAAATGATCCTGCTTGTAATTATACTAGTAATGAATAACTCACTTGATAATGCGCCTCGCATTTTTTTGGTGTCAGCATCCTCTTCTTCATCTTCACTTGAGCCAGTTTTCTTCCTTAAAAAAGCAGGGATTTTATTAGTGCATGCATTATGTCTCGCGTAATAAAATGAATATGATTCACATTGAACCTGAATCAAATTTTCACATTCTTAATCTACCCACCTTTCCTTACCACCACCACCACGCCATTTCGGTACACCATTTTTTAGGAAGAAGTTATAACGTTCTCTGGATTCTGGATTACGAAGTATCGACGCAATAGATCCTAATAACGCAAACTTCTCCTTGCTGTTTGCATCGGGATTTTTATCGGGACTAAAAATTATAAATATGAGACAAAGAATCATTCATAAAACAATCTTTTAATGCGTAAATAATTTTACGTACTGCAAGGCTAATGATAGTTTTCTGTATGCCCTCCCAATTTCTTTTTCAGTGGCTGAAGGTTCTACATTAAGTAAAGAATAAAATGTCGTGCCTTCTCCCTCGCTCGTTGTTAATCGATCAACTAACTCAAAAATCTCATGATCCTCTACACCATTAATCATAATTGGGTTAATAACACTCATTATTGAGTCGTTGAGTAAAACAGGCTTTGCATACCCATATCCCAAGCTTGTACATTGGGTAAAATTATAAATATGAGTAAAATAGAAATAATAATAGAAATAACGAAGCGACTTTTGGGGGGCTCCATCACTATCGAAAGGAATTCTTGAATTATCTAGTAAAAAAAGAAATATAAAGATAAAACTAAAAAAGAAAAAAATTTTTCGAAGAGTGCAACCATTGCCTCCACTAAATATGTGAAGCCCCTAAAATCGAACCAATCAGAAAGACACGAGAATCTCCATTTGAGGCTGTAAGACGTTTGTCATTATACCAATGCACATTGGGTTTTTCGCTAAGAATTGCGCCTGGAAGTTTCCGGATTGCATTATAGGAAATGTTTATCTCAA